GTTACCAATTTCTCTTTTATTTTTTTTTTAGTAAATAATTAATTTATATAAATATTAATTCATATGCACTTTATAGGGCATTCATAGGTCCTATCATTGGCATATCGCTGCGACTCTCACTTGTTTCTGTTTTTGCACTAAAAATACATTGGCAAAGTGAATTGTATTAATAGCAGGGCATTTATTTAGTTATTTCTTTCTATGTTCGTTTACTTTTTGTTCTTCTCTTTTGTTTTTATTTATATTTATTTTTATTTCTATACATAAATATGTATGTATGTTTATATATATAAATATATTTGTTGTTGTTGTTGCTTTCCTTCATACATTTTGCATTTTGTGTTTATTTACTTTGCCGTTTTTGCGCGTTGCCAGCAAATCTCTTCGCTAGGGCCCTTCAAAAGATTTATAAACTAGCCGGCTAGGTAAATATAACGGGGCATGAGGGTCGGGGCGGAGTGGAGCCAAAGTGGGGGCCTACACTGAATAGGACGTCCAAATTTACTGAGCCGTAACGAGCTGCGATCGCCGGCCCGCGGCAAGCGAAAGAAACTGTGAATGGAATTGTATTCGCAATGTTGCACAACGTTTTGCGCTAAAAGATACATTTGTATCTGTATCTCAGACGGCGTGAGTGTGTGCATGCGTGTGTGTGTGCTTGTGTGTGTATCTCGCAGCGTCATCAAAAGGTATTTTGCATTAATTCAAGATTTATGCATTCAACATGCGCTAGGTGCTGCAGTTGCCATTCGCGCCGCCATCGCAGACATTGCCCCAATGTTGCATTGCCTGTTGCCTGTTGCACCTGCCACCGCTGTCGCTGTTGCTGTCGCTGTTGCTGTCGCTGTCTCTGTCGCTGCCACTGTCGACGCCGACGTCAACGTCAAGCGTGGAGCTGCCAGCAGCAGGTGATCCATTTCTTTTATCCGGTAGCTCTTCGCTTTGTGCCCCGAAAAGAGCCTATTTTCGAATGTGTGTATGTGTATTTATGTGTATGTGTGTGTGTTTGGCAACTAATGCAGTTAGACAAGATGAGCTAGGGAGCAGCTCATTGGGAAGTGCTGAAATTCGCCCGAGTTATACAATTTGCAGCGCTTCGATAATAGATATATGTATATACATATATACACGTAAGTTCCACAGCTTCATAAATATATAACTATATATTCATATTCACATATATATATATGAATCAACAGATATAGGTGCATACTATATAAGTAGGAAACTGCATAATTTATAGGCCTTGCGTGTTCAATGGGTTGCGACGACGGCGACGGCGACAGCGCTTTGGCCATATGGCAAAAGGCAAAAGGCGAACTGCAACAGCAGCGGCATCCACATGGAAAGCGGCCCAGTGGCAGTTGCAGTGGCAGTGGCAGATGCAGATGCTGATTACCGTGCGCAATTCGCTGGAACTGAAAACTGAAATCTGAAGTGCTGCCAGATAATTCATAATGCCTCTACTCAAGTCGATGCTTCATAAGCAAAAGGTTTTCCTTTTCTGCCTTCAAGTCTTAATTAAATTATTTTTGTAATCATTTTGAAAGCTTTGCTTTGCAGGTATTTTACATTTTCTCTTTGACTTCTTATTTCTTTCTCTCTCACTCTCTTACTATCAAGTTGCCAAGCAATCCTAGAATATGTCCTTGGATGCATCTCGTTAGTTTCTGAATCTCTGTCACTACATCTCTAACTATGCCATCAAATTCTCTATATTTCAATACTTATGCATGGCATATCATATCTCTTTCCCTTTATTTTCTCTCTCTCTCCTCATGCCATTTTTCCTATCTTTATCCATTCTCGTTATCTTCCCATACATCACACGTCTTTTCTTTACCTCTACCTATATCTCACACTCTATATCTCAACCTTTATATCCACTATCTTCGCCTCTCTCTCTCTCTCTCTCTCTCTCTCTCTCTCTCTCTTTCTCTGTCACTCCTTCTCACTTTCTATCTATCTTCACCTCTTTCTCTTTCTGTCTCTCTCTCTCTGTCTCGTATTCCTTCTCTCTTCTTTTCCGATCTCCCACCTCTATATATGTATATCTCCATGTTCCTCACTCTCTCTCCCCCAACCATATTACCTTCTCTCTCACTCTCTCTTTGATTTTCCATTCCCTCTATCTCTATCTCTCTCTCTCACACTCTCTCTCTCTTCATTCTTTTTATCATCCCACCACCTACCAACCTTACTTTTGCTCTACCTTTATCTCCCTCACTCCCTTTTAAAATTAGTTAAAATTTCCAGCTAATCCACCCAAAATGCGCCTTTCTCTGCGCTACTCAAACACATTAGCTGGCATCAGTGACCGTCGTCCCATGTCCACATACAAAGTTTTGTTTATTTCACACTCGGCTATCATTTAGCCTTCCAACTGTTATAGTCTACCATCTCCCCCTCTCTCTCTCTCTCTCTTTCTCACGCTCATCTCCCATCTCTGTTCGCTCGGGCAGCTCATTTAGCTCAGTTTAGTGCCAATCATTTGCCATTCATTTGGCCGTTGTCTGACTTTGTGACAGTTTTGCGCCCGAAATGCACAACCGATGCAAATTATCAGCAATGCAGCTTGCAATTAATCTGCTGCATATGACACCGCAATCACAACTTAACCCATTTCACAGTTAGTCCACCCAAACGATAATAAACTGTTGCCCAAATGAGGATTGAGGGCGAGTGGGAGGTCGGGGGTCATGCCTTACAGTCGGGAACTGCAGCTGCAACTGCTACTGCAGTCCACTAAAGCACTAAACTCAATGGCTTTAATTGAATTTTGATGTCCTTAGCAAATTGTTTTCTAATTAGTTTCAGCGTGGCCCTAGCCAAGGGATGGCCAGCAGCATGACCAGAACGAGTTTGGCCTGGCGCTGGGGGAGCCGGCGCTTCGTCTATCTCATCCGGCTGGGCAGTTGACACAGAAAAAGTTTCTGTCAACAGTTCTTTCACACGCCCCGCCCAGTGGCCGGGAGGCGGCACTGGAGTCGCGCGGGCTTTTCGCACTTGGCTTCAATAATGACAACTTAAAAGTAAAACAGGCAAGACTAAATCAGAGGCGATTGATTGACCAGCAGATACCCTGTAAGCAGCACAGTACAGGACATGACATTGGCATGGATCCCAAAGTCATATAGCCCAATATAACATATTTGAAGATCAAACAGATGCAGTTTACAAAGCTCCTTTTCTGCATATCATATGTCTCATAATTGCATACCAACAAAAATATATAGACCATATTATCACATATTATATATTCCCATATTATCCCAGAGTATTCGAAACATCAGTTAAGTGCAATTAGACAAAGAACCAGAGAATTTATCGTATCAGATGCTGCCGCAACTAAAGCTAAATCAATGTTATGCAAGTTGCATGCCACACCAATCTACCCGACATTTAATTTACAGGATATACGCAACTAAAACAATTAATGCCACGTTCACGTCGACACTTACCCAGGATCATTTGGCACCTCCGAAGGCGAAACGGGCCCCAGCTCCGTTTGCTGCTGCTGCTGCTGCTGTTGTTGTTGTTGTTGCTGCTGCTGCTGCTGCTGTTGCTGCTCAATCTTGATGTCCATGTTGGCTAAATCGCTCTCGCTCACTGTCCTGCTGTCTATCTCTTTTCCCCTGGCTATGTGTACGCTGCTCGCTCTCTAGCTCTGGCTGCTCTGGAACTCTGTGTGTGCTTCGGCTAATGTTCTAAAAACTGTTGATGCGACTGTTGCTGCTGCTGCATTGAAGAGGGTGTGTGGGTGTATGCGTGTGTGTGTGTTGAGGTGTGTGTGTGTGTGTGTGTGTGGCTACGTCTAATGCTAACTAAGACGACGGCGAGTCCGGCGACGGCGACGTGGTGAGCTATCAATCTAACTCTCCGTTTTAATCATTGACAATGGCTGCTCGCGCGAGTTCCATTTGTTGTTGTTGTTGTTATTGATTTTCGTAATTATTATTTTAATTTTATTTACTTCTTTCTTTACTATTTTGTTTATCCAAAACAAAATTGTTTACGTTTTTTGTTACATTTCGCACTTGGAATCACATTTCTGGGTTGTTGCTTCGTTTTGCAGGCCACTTTTGGTTAACAAAGTTTAAGGGTTTTTTTTTGTTTTTATTTATTTTTTTTTTTTTTTYTTTAATTTACTTTTGCTTAGTTTAATTATTTGAGAAATGTTTTAGAAACGTTGCGTTAACTATTGTTGTTTGAATTGTTTTGAAGGCAACATATTACTGCAATTATATACATACATACGTATATAGAAAATATACATGTATAAATAAAAATAAAACAAAATTAAAGTAAAAACCTAAACCAAATCACGCCATCAAATTGGCTGAAACCTAAAACAAATTGCAATTTCTAAGCAGCTGTAGTCGATAGCCTCTGGCCGTAAACTTCAAATGATTCGAAACGTAAAATCGTAAACTTCAAACAACTGTGCGAGGGGCGAGGGGCGAGGGGGGTGTGGCGCTATAGCTAGATATGTTACAATGAATATCGCTGTTGCAAGCATTTTTTCATTTCCATTTCTCTCTTTTGTGTAAAAATGCAAATATAGTTCAAAAGGTCTTTAAGCGGCAAAGTTCTTCTATGCGCTTCTCAAACATCCGCCTGATATGCATCTGTGAATGCTGTTGCTGTTGCCTTTGTTAAACGAACGCTGAGCGCAACTGGCAAAGCTCTTCCCCGTCTAATACTAAGCTGAGCTTAAGCGTTAAAGAGAAAACATTCTTTTGCGCTTTCCAACACTGCTGATTAACTGCTATGACAATTTCTATGCCCTTAGAATTGACGCTGTGGTAAATCCTTTTGCAAGCTGCCTTCCATGAAACACATTTCGCAAAAAAAAAAACAAATGTGTGCAAGCGAAAGCGATTTCATAGCAATTTGCTTTTGCTGTTGTTGTTGCCATTGTTTTTTTGTGCTTTTGCAAAACACGCCTTGATCTTTCCCACACCCACACGCACACAATCACAGACACATACATGTGTATGTAAACAGAGTATTGCATGCAATGGGGACAGCGTGTTGACTCCCCGAAAGCAAGAAGAAGAAGAACAACAACAACAACATCGAGCTTTATAATAACGCGCAGCATGCAAGCGACACATACGCATACACACACACACACACACACAGCGACTCATACATGCACACAGTGGGTGGGGAGCTAGCTGTTACGGTACATGCACCGTTACAACGAGAGCAGAAGTTAACTGGCGGCGGCAGCAAACACGTGACCCGCCAATTGTGACAATTGGCAGCAGCGACGACAGCACAAAAAATTCGCTGCGAAAATCAAACGAAAATTACAGAATGTGATCGAGTGCATAAAACTGCCGCCAGTTGGCGCCACGATCGTCTATACGTATGTGTGTGTGTGTAATTGGAGAGTTTCGGTTTAAGCTCCTGCTTGGCATTGTTGTTGCTTTAGTAACTTTGCCGGCCGGCCGCCATTTTGCACGTGCGATCGAGAAAAAGCCTTTTGCCGCTTGTCGCTTGCTGTTGGCTTTTAGCTGTTGGCTCTTTACGTGTGGGCAGAGCTGTCGCTGCCTTTTATTTATTTCCGGCCTAACAAACACTTGGCCTAAAAAACCAAACACACTTTGCCATTTCCCACACCAACGCGCACAAACATGCACAGACATGCACACACAGTCAAATTGCACTTTATTTGCCGTTTGTTTGTAATTAGAATTGAATGCCGCGCACTTTTATATAATCGTCAATTTTGCATTGACACAATGCCCTGCGCGCCCGCCTCAAAAAATAAACAAATAATTTATTCTGCTTTGTTGTTTTTGTTGTTGTTTCTGCCGTTACTGGCACGCACTTCACTTGCAACAACTGCAACGAGCTAGCTAATTTTTTTTTTTTTTTTTTTGTAATATATATTCTTTATTCGATTGCAATTGCTGCGCTGCTTGCTGTTGCTGCTGCGTTTGCTGCTGCTGCTGATTTTGTGCGCGCACACGAACGCGACAACCAACAAGACGACACTGAGACACGGCCACGGCAGCCAGCCCCAACGTAGCTGAAGCCCCCAAACAACACACTGACACTGAGGCAGCAGCGGCAGCGGCAGCAGCAGCAGCGACGGTGACGGCGACGGCGACGGTAGCGGGTCACAGTAGCACGCGCTGCATTTGTAGTGGTTCGTAGTAGTTGAGCAAAGCTTTGGCCGCGACGTCGGCAGCGACAGCATGTGTCAGTATGTGCGTGTGCGTGTGTGTGGAAAATGTTCACATTGCACCAGCCAGCCGGCTGCATCATGCCGAAAAGCCAGCGCACAGCTGATAAGTGATAAGCAGTGCAGAGAGCGCTCTATCGTGTGTTTGTGTGTGTGTGAGTGTGAGTGAGAGAGTGCGTTGCTGCTTAAGAGCGCATAATTTACATTTAAGAGCATCGCTTTCATTCGCAATTTGTGTTTTATGCTGAAGCTTTAAAAGCTCACGCTGTGCATATTTTAAAACCGAACGCTTTGCACAGCTTTTGCTTTTGAATTCGATATCAAATGCAAATCGATAATTATATTCGGCTAGATTTTTAAAAGTTTTCCGATGTATTGCGAAAATATTCCTAACTTTAAATGATCATAGCTCGGCTAAATGAAGTCCAATCTTAAAAAGTTATACCTTTCTGTGCTCGTGAGGTTTGTTAATATTAATGAATATAATTATTTCAGTTTCGGCGTGTGTATTTTCTATTAATATACGAACATTATTATTTGTAACATACAAATTTCACACATCTCGCTCTTTTTAACCACTCGTAGTCCAGAGCCTCATAGGGCTTTTAATACCCGAAACCCATTGACAACGGGTGTATTGGTTTTGTTTTTAAGTTTTCGAAAGTTTGTGAAAGTTTTATTGCATTTTACACGTGTTTTTTTGCTTATTTCTTTTTGCTAGAATACGGTAAATTTTGGACTATCAGCCTACAACCAGAATCTGTGTCCAATATATCTGCACTTTATATAAAATACCAAACAAACAAAAACTGTTTGAAACATCTGCCAACAATGTGGAAAAAACGCTGTAAAATGTTATTAAAGGAAGTACTTTTGCTTCAAAGGATGTTCGGAGAGCGAAAGATTTTGTTAGAATTTTTTTGATTAAAGCACGTCGTGATTTTCAGCGATCCAGGTGGAAGTCCACATTCCCTAGATGATCTGCTTAGACTACAACAATGATAACAACAGCCACTAGAATATATAAAGACGATGACAACGACGGCGATTCCAGATTCCAGACGTCTACGTCTAGGGGGAAGCAGTCGCAGGCTTCGTGGGTGGCGTTGTGTCCGTTGTGTCTGTCCTGGCGGGCTCCTCCTTCTCCTTGTTCCAGCTCTTGAGGCCCTCGGGCAGCGTGGTGTCCTCCTCAAAGGAGCCGGTGCCCTCAACAAACTCCTCGTACGTGGACTTATCCTTGAATGGACGTGGTCCTAGTAGCTCAATCATATCGTCGCGACTGAGTACCTCGTTCTGCAGCAGCCGCTCGGCCACACGACGCACATCCTCCTTGTGCTTGACCAGCAATTCGGTCGTCGTTGTGTGCGCACACTTAATAATGTCCCTCACCTCGCCGTCGATCAGCATGGCCGTGTCCTCGGAGTAGGGTTTGCTGAACACCGGATCACCCGACTGTCCCACATCGAAGCTCACTTGGCCAACCTTCTCGTTCATGCCGAATCGCACCACCTGCGAGTAGGCAATGTCTGTGATCTTCTTCAGATCGTCCTGCGCACCCGTTGTGATGCGATTGAAGAACAACTCCTCAGCCACACGGCCGCCCAGGGTCATGCACATGCGATCGAAGAGCTGCTCCTTGGACAGCAAATAATGATCCTTGGGCAAATACTGAGCGTAGCCAAGACCCTTGCCGCGCGGTATAATCGAGACCTTCAGCAAGGGATCGGCGTGCTCGAGGAACCAGCCGGCCACCGCATGCCCCGCCTCATGGTGGGCCACCGTTCGCTTCTCCTCGGGTGCCAAGACGTTCGTCTTCTTCTCCATGCCCGCGATGACACGCTCGATGGCCTGCTCGAAATGCTTCAGCACAATGGAGTCCTTGGAGTCACGCGCCGCAATCAACGCCGCCTCATTGCAAACGTTCGCAATGTCGGCGCCGGTGAAGCCAGGCGTCAGCGCTGCCATCTTACGGGACAGGGCATTCTTGTCCAGCTCCGTCTTAAGGGCACCCAGATGCACTTTGAATATGCTCGCCCGGCCCTTGATATCGGGCGCTGGCACATAGATCTGTCGATCGAAGCGACCCGGTCGCATCAACGCCTTATCCAGTATGTCCACACGATTGGTGGCCGCCAGCACCACCACATTGGTGGTCGTATTGAAGCCATCCATTTCGACCAGCAGCTGATTCAGTGTGTTCTCCTGCTCCGAATGCCCGCCAAAGGTTTTGCCACCTCGCTTGCGGCCCACAGCGTCGATTTCGTCAATGAACAAAATGCAGGGCGCATGCTTTCGTGCCATGGCAAACATATCGCGCACTCGGGACGGACCCACGCCGACAAACATCTCCAGAAACTCCGAGCCGGAGACGGTGATGAAGGGCACATTCGCCTCGCCAGCTGTGGCCTTGGCCAGCAGAGTTTTACCAGTACCGGGCGGACCGGTCAACATGGCACCCTTCGGTATTTTGGCGCCCAGATCGATATACTGTTGTGGATTCTTCAAGAAATTGACGAATTCCATAATTTCAATTTTCGCCTCCTCGCAACCAGCCACATCTCTGCAAGAGAGAGAAAGAGAGAGGATTTAAATGAGATCTCAGTTAAGTTGAAGAACGTCACTTACTTGAAGCCGACGCCAATCTCTGTGGGATTGATTAGCTTCGCTGTCGATTGCATAACGCCGCCAAACAGGCCACCGCCTTTGCGTCCACGCCCAGCGCCCATCATGTCCGCCGACTTGCGCATCATATAGACGAGGAAGCCGATGATTAGGAGCGTGGGCAGCAGACCAGTTAGACTGGATGCCTCCACTTCGTTGCGGTAGATGACGGGCACGAAATTGATGGACTCTATGCCCTGTTCCGTTTGCGCAGTCTCCAAATTTCTTTCGAATGAATCCACGCTGCCAATGTTAAACCACAAGACGCCGCTGCTGCTCTGGCTGGGCAGCAGGCGGACACGTACCCACTTTTTGTTAACCACCTCCAGTTTCTCGACTGCGCCCTTGGAGAGATAGCTGGATATATAGAGAGCAAAAGATTTTCAGGTGGATTACATAATCAGATGAAGTTGCAAAATTAAATTGATGATGCAATCCCTTGGCTCTTCTGACGAAATTCACCTGTTGACAAACTCCTTCCAGGAGATCTCCTTGTAGCCCATTTCGAAGAACGCAAAGGAGGCAATCAGTACAACTGCGCCAATGGCTCCAAAGAGTATCCAACGTTCCCGATCGCCGCCGCCGCCCTCACCCAGTGGACGGCCGCTCGGCGTCCCCGTGCCACGCGCCCCTGGGCCTCGTGAGCTGTTGCTGAACATGCCAAAGTTCCAATCCGATTTGGGCTCATTGGAACTGCTGGGCCTCATCGCGGGTGGTTTGGGTTTGCTGCTGCTGCTGCTACTGCTGCTACTACTACTCGATTGTTTGCTGTTTGAAGCCGCACTTTTATCCCCCTCGGCGGCTGCTTTTGGTTTACCTTTGCCACCGGCCTCGAAATACTTTTCAAAACCCTTCGGCGGTTTTTTGCAGAACATTTGAAGCTGTTCCACAATATACCGAACCAGTGGCGTTAACTCAAACGGGGCTCCGCCATTATGCTGTAACTATATGGAATATATACAATTATTAAAAATTTTTCAAGTATATATCAATTGATCTACCTTTGACGTGAGTGGAGACTGAGTATAACTGCGTTTCATCAGGCTTTTTATTGCCGTCGCCGAGCTGAGGAGCCGGAAAGCCATTTCGCTCTTTGGTTTTGTCTAAGGAGGCGGGGGAGGAGGTGTAAAGTCGGTTTTCTTTAGGTTAAATAACGACAAGCACGCACCGTTATTTTATGCTACTGTAAAACTTGTCAATTTTGAAGCCACTGTTGAGTTTTTGCAAGGAGCCAAAAACTACCGCACCATATAGCACAACGTTGTCTTAAGTTATGGCTTTAAAAACAAAAAAAAAAACTTTTAGATTTTATGGTGCGCTATTGTGAAATTTCGATTTTCAGCTAATAGTTGAAGGCAGGCACATTCGATAGTTGACCAGGGCTGGCGAACTAGCGACCGGTAGTGTTGTACAGCGCATCCAAAACACCAATTTTAAATTCTTACCAAAGTAAATACACTAATTACCATAAATATTAATTATAAGTAATAAAAACAATATTTTATTTGCTTGCCCATTATATATTAATAATAAATATTTGCAAGGTGACGTCACAATTGTTCTGCCATTTGCATACAACGTTTACCAGCACTAACCAACATGGCGTCCGGTGTTGTGCTGTGTCGTGTGGTACGTATTGCTAGTTGTGAAAATTTTCTTTTGCTCAAATTAGCCAATAAATTAACTCAAATTCACTGTGAAAATATGCACAAAACGCGTTCCAGTCAATATGCTTGTGATTTAAGATAAAACGTCGCCTTGGGCATGGCGTTTTAGCGTATTTGATAAGTTTTCTGTAACTGTCTAAGCGAAGGGTACGCAATTTGCAGGCCGAAAAAAATCTTGAAAAAAAAATTTGCTACCGACTTGACATGTACATGTGGATGTGTGCTAATGAGTGTGTATTTGTGTGCCTGTACAGTTGGCTGCTAAAAACCATAACAAAAATGTGTAAAAATAGTTTACAAAATGCCTTCAATACGTTTTTCGTCTGACATCGGTGTGCCTTTGATGGTGTGCGTGCAATTTTTTCCGGTACTCTGCGATAGTGGTGAGGGCGCAATACAATAGTAAAATCTCTATGCAGCTTCTGTGTGCGTGTCAATGTGTATGTGTGTGCGTGCGAATTGTACGAGTCTCCGGTTTGCAACACTAAAAATCAATAAAAATGCAGCAGCAACAACAACAATGCAGAGTTTTTGGTGTAGATTTCACTGGGTGGCTGTCGCTCAACAGGGGCACTCTATTAAAACACATCTATAATGCGTATGCATGTGTATGTGAACTAATTGTTTAACTTTCTTTCTCGTTGCAGCTTTTGTAACTAAAACTCCGTTTTGACATCACTTTCATCATAATCTGAATAAAATAATAATAATAATAATAAAAACCATCGAAAACGAATCAAAAAGCAAATAATAATAAATCATCTAATAAAAACAACAACAACAAAATACCAAGTTACATACCAATAAAGCAAACAAACAACAACAACAACTAAAGCAACAAAGCTCAAAAAGTCTAAGAGGCGTTTAATAACCGGAGAGGCATCTGCCATAAACTTTTAGTTTTGAAAATTTCCTTTGTTTTCGTTTGCAAATTCGCTTTAAAACTCTACAACTGCATGCCGAAAAAGCTCACATGAAAAGTCTACAAAAATTAGCAAAAAGACTGTAAAAAAGCAAATAAAAAAAATACACGAAAAGAAAAAATTTAAAAGGGGAACGTCGCCGTCTGCGGCGAACGTCTGTTAGCGGGTGTGAGCGAGAGAGAGAGAGAAAGAAAGAGACGACAAAGCGACTGCGCATCTGTGCAAAAAGAAAAAAATAACAAAACAAGCCAAGCTTAAAACGAAGACTTTCAAAACCAACAACAAAAAACCAAACAAAATTCAAACGCTGTGAAATTAACTCGTCAATACTCAAAGCAACAACATAAAACGGAAAAACAGAAAAAAGCAACAAAGAGAAATCAACTGAAGTAAAACGGAGTTGAGGTCTAAATAAAATAAATATACACACACACGCACTAAACATATATAACAATTATTATAATTATCAGAACTGCCTAACATTAGCAGCTACAAACGCAACGCTGAGGCGTTGACGTTGACGTCGAACTCGAATAACTGAAAAGAAAATTAAACACCAACAAAAACAACCGTTAAACAATCCCAAAATTCCTCATTTATTTTTCCTGAAAGCTTTAATTTAATTACGAATTTTTGTTAAGTCAAAAGTGAATTCAATTTGCTAAAAAAAAATATAAAAATTTATTTAAATTTAAGACAACAAAAACGCCGCCTCTACTACAACAACAACAAACACCAACATCAAAAACAACAACAGGAACAAAGCAAAGCGAAGCGAGAGCAACACAAACAGCAAAAGCAACACCAACAACAACAACTACCAACAAACAACTGAATTAAAGTTTTAAAGTACAAAATAACCGGGAGAAAAGAGAGAACAACAAAAACAACAACAAAACTAATTTAAACAAAACAAAAACATTTTATTTAAACGCAACATCAATTTAAATTATTTAATAAAAAATAAACAAAATATAGTCTATAAGCAGAAAGAAAAACAAACGAAAACTTTGTGGCCTGTCGTGCGGCGGCCGTGTGAAAAAGTGCAAGAGAGAGACAGAGTGAATAGTGGAGAGAGCGCACATTAAGCAACGGTGCGATCGAGAGAGGAGGAAGAGAGAGAGACACCGTTAGAAAGTTCCGCCTTGTCTAAGAACAGAATAGAATAAACTATAAAGCAACAATTGTGCCGCAAAGAAAAGAAAAAACAAAAGCAACAAAAAAAAATGAACTAAAAACAGAAAAAAATATATAAAAATATAAAAAAAAAAATCGAGCAACTAAAAACGGTAACAATAAATAAAAACATTTAAAACCAAAAATCTACAAGAATTCTATTAATTTTAAGTAATTTTTACAACAAACACACACAATATGAAGACCCCAGCAACAAAAACAACTGAGTAACACAAAATACAAAAAGAAAAAAAAAAAAAAAATACGACAAAAAATTTATAAAACAAAAAAAAAACACACAACCGCTACTTAGCCAATAAAAAAAATTGTAAATAAACGAAATTAAATAAAGCCCAGCTAAATAAAAGATATAATTAAAATAATAAGTTAAAAGGAACAAAAAATAAAAACTGCGCGGCCTGCGTGCCCGGAAAGACACCCAGAACAGTTTTTTTATTTTTAATAATAAACAATTTTTTTATTTTTAAATAGTTTTCTTTTTTTATAAGTGTACCTAGTGAGAAATGTTAAAAGTCTAAATGCGATAACGATTAAAAGCAACTAAACAAAAAAAAAAAAAAAGAAAAAACAAATTCAAAGAAAGATTTAACAACTCTGTGATAATTACTGTAAATTTATAAATATAAATAAATACAAAAAAAAAAAAAAAAATCTCTAAGCATTAATAAAAACAACAAAAGAAAATGAATACTAAATAGAAGAACATTGTAATTTTTAACAATAGAAAAACGAGGTAGAAGGAGAAGTACGAAAATCTTAAATATAAAAAAACAACAACAACCACTTTATACATAAGAGCAAATGCAAATTAAAAGATAAAAAACATTGAAACAAATTCGTGATATCTTAAAGGACTTCGATACATATATAGTATATTATATATTATATTATATAAACTTTAAGTAAATAAGTATAAAGCAAAAAATAAGTGAAAATACAACAAGAAGAAACACAAAAAGCAAAACATAAAAAACAACCCTAGGTTAAAAAAAAGACTTTCAACAAAAACGCGCATTCAAAATATATATATGTAAAAATATATATATTTATATTTAAAACAAAACAAAAAAGAAAATAACGTAGGCTTAAAGTTCAAAAATAGTAAATGAAAACCGAAAAAACAACAACAATTAAAGAGTATCTATATATATATAAATAACAATTCATAATAATGTGCATAGTGAATAGTAAACGAAACAGCAATAAACAATATACAAAACGTGTAAACGAAAAGTAATAGCAACAACAACACCAACTAAATACAGCGAAAATTAACATAACGGAACACTTGTAGAGCAGCCCCAAACCAAACCATTGAAGCGCCGCCTGGCAGGCACAAACCAGTGCGAGAGAGAGGGAGAGAGAGATAGAACAAGTGAGCGCATTAGGGTGTACCAAGCAAATAAAAAAATATAAAAATTAAAAGTAAATCACTAATACTTCCTAAATGATAAACATAAAAAACCACAACGATTGCCTACAAAATATATATATAGTATATAAATGTATATGATAGTAAACAAAACAAAACAAAAGCAAACATATTAATCACTTCCCCTCCAAAATAAGAAAATCCCTCAAAAAAATAAACAAATCAAATAATTAATATCAAAGTAAACTAAAATAATCGAAAGAAAATAAAAAAAAAGTATTCAACAAAGCGCCCAGTGTATTTTTCTAGTAAAACTAAAAAAAATATATTGAAAAAATCGAAATGCAATAAATAGGTAAACAAAAATAACAAAAATTAATGTTTGTTCATTTAACTACAACAACAACTAACAACCAACGGCAGCTGACAGCTGCTTATGCATTTTCATCAGAATACAAATACGAATATAAATATATTTTTTAAAAACGTAAACTAACAATAAATATTAAAAAAAAACAAAAAAACAAAAAATAATAAGAAACATTAAATTTGAACGGCATTTTTTACATACGTTTCGAGACGGGGCTTGCCCCCAAAAATAATAATAATAAATTATATATAAATCGAAGCAAGTTGACCACCCATAACAACAACAACAACAAATGATTGTTTCTTTATTAACTTCGAAGACAAGGAATTTCAGTGCCTCTTGTGCCAGTGTTTAGCCAAAATATATATACACAAAACAAAAAACAAAACAAAAAAAAACAAATACGTATTTATTGCTTAGTTTTTTCTCTTTGATATAAAACAATTACACAAAAAATTGAAAAAATAAATAAAATAATAATTTAAAGTTAAAAACTCACAGAATGAACTAGTTCATTTGCTGGGATTGCACAAATCTATTTTGTATTATGTATGACTTGGC